GGCTTCCAAGTGTTTGACCAAACAGAAAAGGCTGTCAAGGCCTTTGGCCTTGGCCTCGACTACACGTTGCCCTTTATATAAGTCCACCGAAAGAATGACTGGATCTCTTTTGGGCAGGAAAGCTCCGGAAGCCGTGAATTGGAGGCGGGGATGCCTTTTCCAATTGTCGCTGTGGCATGAGGACCTCGACCCATCAGCTGCATATACTGCCCCACCGTTTGAAAGGCCCTCGAAGCGGTGCTGCTGGTGGAGCCCTTTGCACAGGTGGGTCGATGATGGGTTTCTTGCACCATCTCTTGTGCTACAAGAAGCCTACTCCCACGTGTGGCTCAAGCTGATTTTGTGAAGGTTTACCGGTTTTGGAGCTTTATTTTGAGTTTTGCTGCTCAAAAGGTTTTAGTTTGTATTGGACTTTGCCCAGGAAGCATAGTAGAAGGCTTTATGAGTCCTTCGCAGTAGAACCGCCTATCAATATTGATCAATACCATGTGGGAGCACAGTCTCACATTTTCTGATTGCTGGACGCATGTTGAGTCACCCACATGACATGTAGACAAAGTGACGGAGGTATCTGCTCTTGAGGACTACATCTTTGACAGGCATGTGGATCGAAATGCAGCCAAGCAGGTAGTCAGGTTGATGTTTCAAGTTTTGAACTTTTCAAACAGGTGTAAACTTCAATTAGCATGATGCACCTAGTGTGCCATACTTGCCGTTTGCAGGCATGGGCCAGGGAAAGAGAAGACAAGTGAAGGACCGTTTGTGTTCTTGTGAACTGGCACTTGTTGCTTGCAGTGTTTTTACGAAGGGCATTGGCTTTGAGAAAGGCTTTGGTTTCAGATTGAACATGGAGGGCGAACCATCTGCTACGGCATGATCCATTTGTAGAAGTTGCGGAGGAGAAGCGACTAGCAGCGAGCCAGCAGCAAGAGTAAGATTGATGCTTGGCTCACTAGATAGACGTGCCGGTCGGCCCAGCTGCGGCCATACTAGCGATGGCCTCCACCCCAAGAGCGATGGCCTCCAAACTTACAACTTTGCGACTTTTTGGGATTCTCCGTTTGAACATTCTCATGTGAGACCTTGCCTTCAGCTAATGTAGATTTCGTGTGGACCAAGAAGTGCAGTGTTGTTTTGCAGCTTTGTGTCTTTAGCTGGCGATATGCTGATATGCCGTCATGGCTGGCTGGCAAAGTTGGGCCTGAGACATTGTCTGAGGAATTGCAAACAGCCTCCTCCGCAAGCGAAGGCCAGGTTTGACTGCTTTCTTCACGTTGCCACAGACTAGAGGACAACTCCAAACTTTTCCCTGCTAGACAGAGTGCTTGTTTTTATTTTTTTTCTGTTATATATATATATATATAGTCCCTTTTGACAGATGGCTCGAACATTCACCCCGCGCCGACCATTTGAACGTTCCTGGGTCGACTGAGTCGCACAGGCTCGCTCCAAGAGTGACCTTAATGATTCTCGACCAGCGCCGTGGCTGCCATGGTGTGTGAGCGATCTGTTCAGGGGGGCCGCGCTAAATCTCCGGACCCAGTTGACCCGGTTGACCCAGTTGACCCCAACAAGAAGCTACTACTACTACTACTCCTCCTCCTGCTGTTGCTGCTGCTGCTGCTGCTGGCACTACCACACTTGCCATCACACAAGAAGCCAATTGGGTCAACTGGGTTCAACTGGGTCAACTGGGTCCACCACCACTTCTAGGTTTACAGGGAAGCAATCTGTGGGGCAAATGGCTTCCCCAAAATGACCTTTAAAGCTGTTTGTATCTCCAAAGCGACCGCAGAAGATACGGACTTTTTAAACTTTCTCTTGCCCTTGCCCGCTTGGCATTTGCCCCAATTGCACCATTGGCCCTGTCCTATCTCCATTTGATGTACTTGCACAACTTGCCGAATGTCTGTATCTCCTGGGTGTCCATAGAAGATACGAACTTCTAAGCCCTCTCTCTCTCTCTCTGCTCGCCCTACATGCCCTGCACCCGGAACACTGCACATCCCAGCAGTCAACTGGGTCAACTGGATCAACTGGGTTCAATCGGGTCAACTGGATCAACCGGGACACCCTGTTCAACCGGGTCAACCGGATCAACTGGGGCCACAGAATTTGTATTCAAGCCTTCTCCTACCAATGCGTGCCAAGCTTTTGCATGGCAGAGCCAGAAGGCTTGCTATAAGAACTGCATTTCTTGAAAAAGACGTCGTCAGCAGATTTGAATGGATGCTGTGAAAGGAACCAGCTGGAGCCTATTCACCGCCCGCTGTGCCTTTGGATCCTCCAGCCAACCCACCACCCTTGCAGGCTGGGCCAAATTCCTCATCAATCTTTTGTTTGAATGGACTTGGCTTGCATGGACTCTTTGTTCTCCCGTCAAGTCCCTTGCGTGCAGAGTGATGAATTGCATATTGCATTTCGAAGTGGTCTCATGTCCTGCAGGGTTCCGGTTCGGGGACTCCAGCCAGCGTTGGGGTGCCCTGGTGGGTGGCAGCAGGAATGGTGTGAATCAGATTCGTAGACACTGCCCCAGACAAACACAGCCCCTCCGAAGACAAGGGGGGGCGTGTTCTGGGAGATTGGTGTGACAAGTGAATGTCAGAGTCGAAGAGCTCTTCCTTAGATCCTCCAGAGTAGCTTTAGAGTTGAGAGCTCGGCAAGAAATCCTAAATGAAAGCGGTGGGTTCAGGAAGCTTCGCTGCCATACGTGAGGCCTCGCAGATGGAGAAGCCAGAGCCGGATGCCTGAGATTTTATTCTCCTTTCCAATCTGTGCTTTCAGCGTCATGAGCACCAACCATGTGCTATGGCCTCATTTTCAGAAGCTCCAAGCTAGAAACGATCCAAAGGGGTAGGGGTTTTGGTGGTGATCTAGTTTAGAGCAGGTTTCTTTCCGGTCAGCAAGAGTTTTGCTTTCCAGATCTGAGCGAGTTAAACACAGCATTGCATAGTGCTTTCAACAGTTGACATTCCCCAAGCAGGTCTTGCAAAGGTCTGTGGGCTACCTTCTTCTTGTACTGTAGCACTCAGGCGACGGAAGCAGACGGTGCGGATCTGAATGTAAGCAGTGACCAGGTGCATTGATCACGCTCCACTGGACCATGTTGTTCAGACAGTGTCAGTTGGATATGGACGTCAGTTCTTAGTCGCAGCGTGGCCAGGCAAAAGATGCTTGTCCTGACATGATTTTGGGCCGTGACACAGTGATTTAGGTGAACGTTTTCTACAACGGTCATCAGCTCACTACTAAAGAAAGCGTGCAGAGCTCAGCCAGCTTTGCCTGTCAACCGATTTTGGTGCTGCAAGCTGCAAGCTTCTTGCGGGTATACGATGCGCATTATTTGTGCCCAAGCAAAATTTGGACAGCGAATTCAGTATCCCACTTACATAGCATAAGTACAACATGATATATATATATACATATAATACTATACTATATTAATGTTGTATTGTATTGTATTATATCATATTATACTATACTATATATTATATATATTATAGTGCTATAATATATATATATATATATATTTTTAATTTGTTATTTGACATACAAAGGACCTGGGAGTCTGGGAAGCCGTAAGACTTGAAGCTGGGCTTTCAAGGTGGTCCAAGTCTTGGTGCACAATGCCAAGAAATCGACTGGAGAGGCCAGGCTCAAGCACTTAGTCGTGCGGCCCACGAGACAGCCGTAGTAAACTCACCAAAGAACCACTAGACATAGGCGCTAGACAAGCCTCAGGGATCTGGAGATACCGGAGATACTGGATTTGCTGAGTGGTTCGTCCATGGTCCAAATATCAGAATATTTCCGTGCATCCATCTGCTCTTTGTGCGCAGGAGCTGACGAGGTCAACCAGACGCTCCAGGTGCAGCACGGAGTAGTTGCACACAGCTCTGCGAAGTGCCCGTAGCAAGCAAGCAAGTCACCTTTTCATCAAATAGATCAAAGTCGTTCCCCAAGTAATTAAAGTTCAAGCAAGCAACCATTCGAATTAGAATGTTATTTTTTTTCATTGATGTTGCGTGCAGTTGTATGTGGAGTTGTGGCAGTGCTTGTTCGCCCTTCCTCAATCTTGATCCTCCTGATGATGTCAGGAGAACAATTGGCGGTCGCTTCCTTGCATCCATGGAGGACAGATTTCATACATGCACACTGATTGAGACATCCAGGTGTTTGAGTCGCACCTCCAAAACTGCTTTTGGCAGTCCGTCGCCCAACTTCTCACCAAGACTAAGTGGCTGTCCATGTGCTCGATCAACCAAGTGCATCAAAGTCCCAGAGAGCCAGGAAAGCTCAAGCTCTGGAGAAGGCAAGAGTGGGTAGGGATGGTTGTTGGGCCGAATGGACTTGCTGTGACACGGAGAGTGTGAACCGCTTTGCCATTTCTTCTCAACTGGACGCTTTAGGCGGGACTCTTGAACCGAAGCCATGAACTGTTCGTTCCGGAGAAGTCAGTTGAAACTAGTTGCTGCACTCTGTGTGTTAGAACACCGTCCTTTGAACAGGGTGTACATACAATGCGGCGAGGTCACAGACACAACATCCTCATTCACTTTATAAATCTCTTTATCCAATCATGAAAACGTGTTTCCTGTCTGTGAACACAAAAGCAAACAAAGACTGCACACAGCGCAGATTCTTCGATTCGGCGAAAGACACAAGCAAAGACCTCAGGAAGTTCGTTTCCATCAGGGGCGGCACATGGCATTTTTTTTCGAAGAAAAGATGTCTTGAACAGCTTGGAAGGGATTTGAGATTATTTGGGATCGAATCCTTTGTCTGAGGCACAGAACTTTTTCTGTGGCAACATTTGGGGCAGAGCGTGGAGCTTGGAGGGCTTAATTTTGATTCCACCTTTCTCGGAGGGCATTCATGGTCTTCGCCGGGGTTGGGCATGCATGCCATCATGGGTCTTTCGCTTGTGGATTGAGAGGGAGAGTACTGTTTGGGGTCCTGCGATTTAGAGATTCATCCTGACCAGTGCCAAGGTACATCACATGACCTTCGAGCTCATTCCTGATGCTACTTCCCCACGTGAAGGCGATGCCAAGCAACAAGAGGACTGCCTTGTTTTTATTTTTTTTTTGAGTTTTTGGAGGCTCAATGGCGGTACAACGAGCATGGCTTTTTTGAGATTCGACGTTTGGCACGTAGCAGAGTGTTGGCGCCCTCAATCCTGGACTCGGTTACATTGGAAAGGTTTCTGGCTGAAGATGTCGTTCCTCCTTCAAAGCAACATATATATATATATATATACATGTATTGTGAAAGGCCAAAGGGAGGTTTGTATACGAGAGAAGTCCTTGTGCATTTGCGGATCAGGAGCCATCAGTTGAGCCACCCGTGATGATTGTCTCATCTGACATGGACTGGCTCGCCACTGGTCTGAGCTACGAAACAAACGGTCTGAACCACATGCTTGACCAAACCCTTCAAGCAGACACAATTTTTTCAAGCCCTGCCATACACGTTGCAAGACACTCTGAGCGAGAATGACAGGCCAATCGCAGTTCTAGACATCGTGGGTATTTACACTAGACAACATGAGGGCCATGAGGCAAGCCGGACACTTCGTGCACGCCAGCGGCACTGATAATGAAGGCCATTCTTATCATGGGAAACCTATAGCCTACGCGACAAGTTGCGATCAACATTTAATCTAATGCAATCTATGCCACTTGCACTCGCTGGTCCTTCAGAGCTTTCTCAGGTCCAGTGCCACCTGCGCATTTTGCCAACCATCGGGGGGCATCTATGGCGCAGGCCAAGACTCGACAGAGACACCCGGCAGGCAGACACGACGTTCGTATGAGAAACTTGAATAGTGTTCAGACCATGGACACTTGACTAAAGGTTCAATTGATCGCATATCTACTTGTAGCAAAACAGTGCACAAACAGAAACTGCCGCAGGTTCTAAGCATGGCGATGGTGCCAGGGGCTAACTTCAAAGCTGTGCTGCTTCATGAGCTCAATATGATTTTGTCGATGCTGATACCGAATGAACGCGTGGCACCGGCTTTAGAACTTCACTGTATCTTGATAGGCTCTTCGTGCATCATGGCCTTGAAGACACTTTGTATCAAAGTGCTGGGCAAGTGCAGTTCATTCAGTGCCACAATCAATCTGACAAGACCCAACAGCACAAACCTCTGGATTCTCCAGCTCAATGTCCATGGCGCAGCCGGTGATCTTCCTCGATGTTGATGGAGTCCTGCACCCGGGCACATACGAAGCTCACAGATGTCAGGCCTCAACCTGCAAACCTCATGTTGCACAAGCGTGACGTCTCAAACATATCAAGACTTTGTTGTCGCTCTTCAAGTTATTGTGATGCTTTTTCTTTTGCATACTTGTCTTCAGCACGTAGTCAGCGGCACTCTAGTGACCAGCGGCGCAGTTTGACCATGAGAATGAGCCTCAAACCTTCATTGTTCAAGCTCCAATGGCGTCGTTCCAGGATCTCTTCCGATCTCAATGCCTCACGGAGCTTCGCAGAATCATTGATGCGACAAATGTCACTCGACTCTCCACGAACACACGGTGGCCACACCATGGTTGTGTTTGAAACCCCTGTAACTACCGGTGACTGACGGCGCAAAACAGTCACCTGTGAGGCGATTCTGGTGCTATCCTCTTCCTGGAGGGAATCTCCTGGTGCTTGTCGACGCTTGAAGAAGGTCTTGGAGGAGCATGGGATGTCCCTCTTCGGATCAACTGAGGTCAGTGGCTGCCCAGGGCTTCGTGGCCGAGGTGGGGAGACAGGATCGGATCATCTCGCTCTATCGTGCAAACAAACAAACTATATATATATATATATAGATAAGTGGAGGAGAGTGAGTAGCAAGCTGGGAGGTTCAAGCCAATCTGAACTGCAGTTTTGAACTTTACCCAGAGCAAGCCTTGGAGGCGTACTAGAACCATGGCAGAAAACCAGTAGTTTGTCTTGTCAAGTGGCAGTGCAGTGGCCCCAGGATCTGTGTAAGGCAAGACTTTCCCATGCATTACATAGCGCCTGCATGCGCCTGCAACGCATGTCCCTATAATAAACGCGTTCGCACCGATACACCAAGGGTTTAGGGATGTTTAGGGTATCGACTGGCGTATCGTCGTGATGGCGTAGAACGCCATGCATCCAACACCAAACGGCGGAACGGCGGAATGGCATACTCACACTTCAGGACCAGGGGACAGTTTGCAAGCACGCTTGTGCAACTTGCCCTTCACACGCAAATTTCAAATGCCTTTTAAGGACAAGCGAAATGATACCTGAACAAAATCCCAACATGCACCTAATGCAATTTTGCGGTGAATGGTAGACTAGGCTAAAGCCGAGCCCCAAACCAAAGGGGTGATACACGCTGCAAAAACACATTTGGCTCCCAAACATGCCACCTCGAATTGCCAATCCGTAGCGCAAGCGAGTTCTTTTTAACGCCACTCCTAGGTCGCAATTGGTTTACCCACTTGTGATCGGTCAGAAGATCATGGCAACTAACAACCTTGAGAATAATATAATAGAATGGTGTTCACATTGTTGCAACCCAGCCAAAGTCCCACTTAGACAATCTCATGCTGAAGTCGTTTCTCTTAGCAACTTCGCTGCTTTGACAGGTTTGGAGATCAACCGCTGGCTGCGGAGCCATGCGCAACATGTGCAGATACCCTATTGGTTGGCCCTCGACGACTTGGACCTGGCGAAGGAAGGAGGCTACTTGGACAAAATGCGCAAGCAAATCATCACGCTGTCACAGGACCATAAGCAACGAGACGTCTCCCGCTTTTTAGGAGGTTGCTCATCGCTAAGTGGCAGGTCATTAGTCGATTCAGAAACCAACCGATCAGGCAACTACGATTCAGAAACCAAAACAGCCGATTCAGAAACTACGATTCAGAAACCAAAATGGCCGATTCAGCAACTACGATTCAGAAACCAAAACAGTGCGATTCAGAAACCAAATGGTCCGATTCAGGAACCAAATGAGCCGATTCAAAAACCAAACGAACCGATTCAGAAACCAAGTAAGTCCCGATTCAGAAACCAAAACAGCCGATTCAGAAACCAAGTCGGCCGATTCAGAAACCAAACCAGGCGATTCAGCAACTACGATTCAGAAACCAAAAGAGCCGATTCAGCAACCAAAAGAGCCGATTCAGAAACCAAAACAGCCGATTCAGAAACCAAAACGGCCGATTCAGAAACCAAAACAGTCGATTCAGAAACCAAGTTAGACTGTTCAGAAACTAAGCCAAGATAATAGCGTTCCATGTGGATGCAAAGGGCGTTTACATTCAGTCAAGTAAGAAGTAGTGGTGGACGGCAGGAGGAGTGTGGGGTGGGGGGGGGGGGGGGGGGGTGGGGAACTTTTAGACCAATGTGCCGCCAGGGCTCCTTAGCATACTTTTCATGCAAAACCATAAGACTCCCACAAACGACCAGCAAAGCAAATCGACCTAACAAAAAAGTAATTTGCACGAAACCATGACACACACAAAGCAAAACAATACTTTATACTTTTTAACCATCATCAAAAAGTACATACAGACGCAAACTTGTGATTTTTTACCTTGAAATGTTAAAGTAAAAAACCACAAGTTTTGTAAAAGAACCTGGATAAAAAGGACAACATAGAACCAGACTCATCCTTACCAGAGCACTCCCTGAAGGAAAAGGACATAGAAATCCTTTCTGCTAAATGGATACCGCTTCGTTTGATGTATGTTTTTAAGCTGGTGACCTGGATTACCTGAACTTTGGATTACCTGAAACTTCACAATATGTTACAAACAGGCGATTTGTAAACTATTTTAGTAGCAGCACAAACGTATTTAATGCGAATGCGGGGGCGAAAAACATCAGGTTTTACATTTCAGGAGAGGATAATACCTATTTGGATTTGAGTTCAGTAAGGTTGTTTGCAACTTTGCAAAATAACGATCGAACAAGACACCATTTCTTACGTCCATTAGGAGGCTTACATGCCTTTATTCAACGATACAGAGCAACAGTAGGAGGTCAAATGGATCGAAATATTGTTGAATACAAGAGACACTGTGAGTTGTATGTTAGAGACATGGATGACATAGAGATGTCAGCTAACCCAAGATGGGACGCTGACTTTCATGACTATGCTAATGGTTTGGATGTATTATTGCAGGCTACTACTGCTGGTGTTACTCCAACCCCCGGTGTAGTAACTGTATCCCCTGACGGTGTTAAAAATGAATGGGGTAGAATAGATAAAAGATACAGTATACAAGACACTCATTGACAGGAATTCCCGGCGCTAATGGTAAAGCCCGATTCAGCCATAAGCCTGTTTGCGGGTTGATGCAATCAAACTATTATTTACCTTTGAGGTATGCGCCTTTGGAATTAGAATTCACAATTGTTAATGATGAATTGGTACCTATTGTAGAACCACAAGGAGGCGCAGTAGGAAACCCGAACACTCAAACTGACAAACAGGGGTATTACTTTCAAGCAGCTAACACTTCTACACAGTGGGAATTAAACAATGTTATTATCAGAGCTGAAGTAATGACTTTAGACAACACTGTTAATAACAACATAGTAAAACATTTGTTGGACGGTCAGTCACTAAAACTGGTCTTTCCTATGTATCACACACTGACACAAACCTTCAACACAGGAGGCGGTGATCTGGATATGAACATTGTCAAGTCATCATTCAAACTCACGGGAGCATTCATTACTTTATACAGAACACCAAGAAATGGAACTATCAATGCTAACTATTTACCAGACAACTATGTTCATAAGCGATGGAACTACTTTTACAATTCTCAAATTAACTCATTCATCTGGGACAATGCAGCAGTAGCAAATCCTCAAGACCAAGGCAAAGGTTTCCAAGACTATGGTAGAAACTTATAGTGGCAAATCCAGTTAGGCAACAAAACGTATCCAGAGTTTGAGGCACAATCATTATCATGCAGAAACCTTCTACTATTTGCGAAGAGCCATACATTACATGAACCCGGACCAAGATGCATTGAGTTTCAGTTACAGGCAATACAGAGAAAACACATTTATTATTGGTATGTCATGAAAAGATGGCTGACGTCAACTTTACTGGAGTTAACACAAAAATGGGCAGTTTAATCACTATGAAAATCCGCCCTACTGAAGGAACTCTAAACACTACACCCGGTGATAGCACTAACGCAATTTATGCTGAAGACATTCAAGAGGTTTTTACCCACCTTATTAGTGCAAGCGTGTTAGAAATTTGCGAACGCGGGTCTGTGGTATACGATTAAAAAAAATAAGTCTAAATTATTAATATATTTGTCTAAAACAAAATATATTAATAATGTTTAAGTATCATAAACACAACAACAAAACAGGCACTAAAGCACATCTTCACAAATCATTAATAAGTTTTAGTCCATTTGATATGAGAGATACAAGTTATCTGGAGCATTTACACAAGGAACTTAAGTTAAGAAATGCAACAGAGGGCATGGTAGCATTAAGAAAGGACATGATATAAGCAAATGCTAGGTCAAACTATCAAAATGAACTGGACAGGTTGAGAGGTGAAGTCCAAAGAGACAACCTACCGCACAACACAAAAGAACACAGCATTAAGCAACCTAAAGGCCTATTTTTTGCATAAATATATTAACATGTTTACCTAAAATATTAATATATGGCAACTATGGCATTGGAAATGATAAATCCTTATTCAAAATATGAATTGAAGAGGCGACCAACATATGATGAAATAGCAGGGTTGATAGGAGAAAATGAAAA